ATTTCTTGTCATGCCAGATGGGTTCATTCTGCTTTGCTTCCTGGGGTTGTGATCCTCAATGTCTGTTCCTAGGATATTGTGTAAAATTCTTTGGTACAAATACATGCAGATCAGGCAATGCTGCCCACATTGGACGCGATCCTCGGCCACAGGTCAGCGCAGTCCTTTGCCACTGGCCCTGTGATGGCAGAACCCTTCATCTCACCTTTGTTGTTCACTATGACCCCCGCATTGTCTTCAAAATAAAGAAACACCCCATCTTTTCTCCGGTATGACTTCCGCTGTTGGATCACCACTGCAGGATGCACCTTCTTTCTGAGCTCGGGTTTTCCCTTCTTGACTGTGGCCATCACCATGTCACCTACACCAGCAGGGGGAAGTCTATTCAGTCATCCCTTGATCCCCTTCACAGAGATGATATACAGATTTTTGGCTCCGGTATTATCAGCACAGTTGACCACGGCTCCCACGGGAAGACCCAAGGAGATCCGGAACTTCGCCCCGGAGGACCCACCATGTCCTCTCTTCGACATATTGGATGCCAGAAAGAGATAGAAAAGCTAAAATAAAAGTTTTACTAAAAATGAGATGAACCATATGTAAGCACAATGGTTGGTTTCTACATTGATTATATTTGATGGTTCAAGAGAGCTAAGGAGAAACTAAATAAATGATGCTCATACATAGAGCCCTAGATTTTAGGTCTTCATAAGAAATAAATTCAAATCCTTGCAGTGATGTCTATCAACATTAAACAGAGGTCAGAAAATTTTGTCACAACCAAACCTGAGTTATTGCTGAGAATGAAAGGACTAAACTTGGGCACATTTTTGTCATTCATCCACCTCACCCATAAATTTTTCAAAGCAGTTCCTGGACTTTCTGTGGTTCTCACAGCAGGGCTTCCCTCTCTTCTGCCATCAGTGAAGGCTATGATATATCATTCCCTGCATTGTTTCCCCAAATCAAAAATTACCTGCTGTATCCCCAAGGGGCTTTCCAGCTAAATCCTACAGAAGGAGATATGCCTACTTGATTAGGACATAATCTTTACTTCTGCCATAAAATCTGCACTTTAATAATAATAAAAAATTATCAATGAGTGAATAACTAGTAGTGACATTGATGATACACACACACACACACGTAGGGAAGAGTTATTTTCAGGATTTTACAAACCATGTCTTATATGTTATTATGTATTTCATTCCTCCCATTTTATAATTATTGAAGACTGTATAAAAGAAAACATACATTATTTGATGAAATTCTCATTGTGCAAAGAACTGGCAAATCATAATTGCTTCTCGAGAGTAAAAAATGAAATGGAGGGGAAAAGAATATAAAGTAAATAGGATTGTTTACATATAATATTTGTTTTGCGATTTTGATTTAGGTGCTTCATTTGTTGTATTTTAAATGTAATAGGATTCCAAAAATGAAGACAGGATTTGGAAATATGAAGAAATTAAAAATAGACAGAATTAAGAATACTGACAGCAGAAAAAAAAGTGCACTCAAAAGTTTGGAAGACATTTATGCTTTATAAACTTGTCTACATTTGTTTATTCCTGTAGGTTTGTGATTCTTGAACACATTGAAGTGGTAAAAGTTACATTGAAAGTCAGAAAAAAAGTTTAAGCACAGGAAGTAATATTTCATTGAAGACAAAGTATCTAAAAGTGTATCTTAACAGTACAATTTTCTTAAATGTTTTATATGTTCTTTGGCTTATTAGTCAGGTTTTCAATCTGTATATATGGTAATTAGCTTTATAAGGTTTTGTAAGATAAATAAATGAATCTGATGTGGGAAAAATAAAAGGAAGGTAGAAGGGAAATAGAAGGAGGGGGAAAAAAGAAGGGAATTGAAATGTGTTTTGTATATGTACCAATACACTGGATGTAGACATTAGTACTGCCACATGTACTAATAAAAATTTGAAAAAATAAAAAATAAAAACCTGTGGTATAGATAGGATAAAACTCATCCAAATCAAATAATTTTCCATCAAAGATGATTTAGCTGACTTGGGGTATATTATGTACATATACTTTCCTTAACATTTCAGATAAATCAAAATATCAGTGGAATAAATCACAGAGAGCAGAAGAGTAAATTGTAATTGTTAATTGTTAGCCCAAAAATGGATTATTCCCTCATAAGTAGTCAAGATTTAACTATAGTCACGTTCAACATGGTTCTAATATATTATCTTATTATGAAGTGATAATCTGGTTCTACATAACAAGAAAAGCTAAGTCACTTTAAATAAATGTTTTTCTTATATTAAAAGATCATAGATCAATACATTAGAATAGCAAGTTGAGAAAATAACATTTTATTAGTGAAAATTTAACACGTGCAATTAAGATAGGTATTATTTGGTTGAATATATTAAGGAAAACGTTTTTAATTTATCCTTTGTTCATTCTATACAATCATTGATTTCAATATGTGCTGCTAGTTTTAATAGAAAATGGCTTAAAAAATATTCTGGACCTTAAATCAGGTTTCCTATTCTTCCCATATATTTTACATAAATAGTATTTGTGGTAAGTCTGAAATATTCATGCCTATATATATTCAGTTTTAAATGAAAAAAATAAACATCACAATATATTTTGATTATAATGTGTATTTCTCCTGAACTTGAATTATTATACACAAATTTGATCAACTCATTAGTAATTGTATCTTGCAATAGAATGGATTTCCTGAAATTTAAAGCTTAATACAAATATTTGCAAACTTTGAATACCTTGCTTACCTTGATCTTCATTTAGCAATGCTAGGGTTTGCAAGCATTTTTAAAATTGTGCACATATTTTATATTTGTAAGAGAGTAATAGAATTTCTTTTCGAATTTCTAAATTTCTATGAAATGTAATTACATTCAATATTTTCACCATTAAGTAAAATATACAGAAGTAAAATTTTCACATATTTTCAATACTATTTATAGTTAAAATCATAGTTTTTTTTCTCTTTTATTTTTTTTATTTTATTTTATTTTTTGTACCAGGGATCGAACTCAGGTCCTTGCGCTTGCGCAGCAGGCAGCAAAACTTTTTTTCTCTTTTATGTTAAATCAGTCTTTGAAAGTGTCTTCAAATGTCACAGAAATTTAAAAATTTCAAGAACCACACTGAAAAAAAGTGTAAGTGGACAATTCCTACAAAGTGTGTTGGGTAAAGCATTCCTGTGTTAAACAATAGAACATAAGTCCATAAAACTTCACTAGGAATATGAAGTTGGGCATGACTCACATGAGTTTTCCAATATATAAAGAAAAGTCATGGGGAACAACTTTAATGAAGGATGGGAGCATTAAGTTATACTGCAGATGAGAGCTTAGTAAAATTGTGTTGTTAGAAGAATGAGACTGAGGGCAATTTGGAAAGAGCCAAGACCCTGAGTTTGATCTCCAGCATGACAAAAATAAAGTAAAGAAATAAAGTAAAATAAAATAAAACAATCAAAGTTTGTCTTCCAATCAAATTTTCTAAATTAACAATTTTGCTAAATTGGTTTTAGGATTCTTATCTGTTACACATGTAAAATAATTTTTTCTCTCAAGTTTGTAAGTTGGAAAAATCATTGACTATATGTTTTCAAATATGTACTATAGTTCAAATGAATGTAAGTAACCATTCATAGATAACTATAACATTTTGATTAAAAGACTTGAAGGCCTAATGTGATTATAGAAAGTTATTTAATAACACTTTGATTAAAAATTTTAGAGAGTTAATAGCATGATATTAGGAAGTAATTTGATTTGCTTCAATTTATATTATTATATAGAAACTGTATATTCTATGTGGCAAATCCTTCAAATAAAATGTATTTTATATTCTCAATAACAAAATTATTGCCTCTGGGCCAAGGATTTAGCTCAGTGTTGCTGTGCCTGCCTTGGAAGTTCAAGGTCCTGAGTTCACTTCCTGGTACCCCAAACAAACAAAAAGACAAAATGAGTGCATGTGTAGCAAATAATACATATAATACATACCAGAAAATTGATAGCAGATATTGTGATTTGTCTGTTTCCATACACTAGAGAGTAAGAAAATAAAATGTGATGCAAATACTCATATTTTCAATTGTTACACTGTACACATTAATCAGAGAATGTTTATTGTACACAACAATGCTTTAATTAACAGTGATGTGCAGTATATAAATTACCTTTTGGAATGATACTTTTGTAATTTAAAGGGGAGAAAATATTTTTCCTCTGCACATGCATTTTTCTGGCAGTAAACTAATGATATTTAGAGTATAAAAGGAATATCTAATTAACTTGCATTAAAATCTTTGTAGTCACATTTTATCTCTTTCATTTCTTATTTTAAAAGTAAACATAGTATGTCCTAGTACATGAGAATACCCCATAATACTTCCTTTGAAATATTTACAGTAAAAAGAAATCCAAATAATTTATATTTCCCAATAATTTTAACAATTAAATTATTATTATTTAATATCTACACATTCATGAGGATATTTTTAAGCAGGTTTTAATTTAAGTGCTAATATATTTTATGGTGAAGACAAATTTATGAGGTAAGTACTATTTTTCTTAACTTAAAGAAAAATATAACTATTCAAGTTCCCAAGATAACATAAAGAGTAATGTATAAAGTAAAATTTAAAACAATATCCTCAAGAAACCTTGGCCATGATGGAAAAGTTAGAATACTCTATTATGTATATTATGAATGGAATAATATCATATAATCATCAATTTTATCTTCATGTGTGTGTTTACATGAAAATTATATTTCTCTAAAAACAATTGTAAATAAAAGTTAACATCATTTGTCATTTTGAGACTTGCATTGTTTCCCTAAGAATATATTAAAGACTTTCTAAATACATTGAAACATTTATCATCATAACTATGATAGAACCTATACACAATGTGTGATTGTCTGGCTCTTAAAACATTAAATATCCATTTTCTATAGAATCAGTTGAGAAAAAAGTACATAAAACATTAAGTTTGTAAGGTCTGAGACTTGAAATGAACATTTAAAGATTGAAAATAATTTCATGTATAGTAAATAACAACACATTGAACATCTTGTCAATCAATCTTTCACTGAAGTTGTGTTCACTTGTATTAGAAATATGAAAGTCCCCTTGTCGCTTTGCTACCTTCAGTCCACCATGAATCGTTTTCCATTTGTCACATGCCACCCTGTCTTAGAGCCAGCAGATGATGGACTGAGTCCTCTACAAACTAATTATTATTTCTAAGAAATATCTTCTCTGCTTCCAGGCCACTGTAACTACAGACCCCAGTGCCGAGGAGGTGAGCCACATGGGCACCAGTAGCACACATCCATCTCCCTACCACCCTGTTGAAATGAGAAAACACTTAAACAAATCCCAAAACCATACTTCCAAATCATCTAAGGCAACCCCAAAGGGAAATGAAATCAGAAATAATTTCTCAGATAACAACAGAGATTTTGCCATAGTACAAGACATGATTAATAAATATAGAGCAGGCACAGATTGAAAAAATAGAGAAGCTGAGTGAGGAACATGATGGAATCCCAAAACAAATGGAATACATAAACAGATGCAAAAAGATTTCCAGGAGATTAAAAAATCCATCGAAAGTTTACAAAGCATTATGAACCAATGTGAGGACAGAACTTCAGATATAGAAGATAAGATTGCAATTAGTGACCAGGAAAACGAAAATTGCTTTAAAATTGTAAGGGACCATGAAAAATCAATCCAGCAGCTGCTAGAGGATATAAAGAAGAATAACATAAGACTGATGGGAGTCAATGAAGAAACAGGAGAGAGTGCAGATGACATAGAAAACTGTTCACAGAAGTGATGGCAGAACATTTCCCAAGGAGGGGAAAAGAACTTGACATACAGATAAATGAGGCATATAGGACTGCACCTAGCCTTGATCAAAAAAATCTACACATAGGCATATAATTGTTAAGATTCCAGAAACCCAAAAAAGAACAGAATTCTACAAGCAGTGAGAGAAAAGAAACAAATCACATACAAAGGAAAGCCCATCAGAATCACAGCAGACTTCTCAACGGAAACTCTCAAGGCAAGAAGAGCTTGGAGTGATGTATTTCAAGCCCTAAGAGAAAACAGCCTCTAACCCAGACTGATGTACCCTGCAAAACTATCTTTCAAAATTGATGGAGAAATAAGATACTTCCATAACAAAGAGCACCTTAGGAACTTCATGAATACCAAACCAGCACTCCAAAGAATTTTAAACAATATCCTAGGAAAAGACAATGAGGATGACAATCCCATGAGGGCCAGCAGAATAAATTCATCAGGTCCGACAAGAAATTAAATGCAAAGGGGGAGAATGCAACAAAAAGAAAAAGTCATGACAATGACAAGTCAATACATATCAGTTATAACCAACAAAGTTTTTGGTCTCAATTCACCAATCAAAAGAAATAGAATGGCAGAATGGGTCAAGAAGTAAGATCCAACAATATGCTGCATACAAGAAACACACTTAATTCAAAAAGAAACTCATAGACTGAAAGTT